GGCTGCACGGCCTGCTCCGGCCCCCTTCCCCGGCCCTGCTGCTGCCGGGCGCGCCGGGGCCTACGGGAGGCCGGTGCCCGCGGCTCCTCCCGCTGCAGCGGCTGGGGCCTTCGATGCCCGTGTGAGGCGTTTGAGCCTCGGCAGGCCCTGGCTGAGGAGGGGGGAGCTTGTCGCCACACACACATCGTGTTGGGGGCACGCACGGGCTGACCGGGGTCGGCCGGGCCCTGTGGAAGGACTCCTGGAGACGAGGAGCCTCCTCTTCTAGCCGCAGATCTTGCCATGTCTTGGCTTGGCTGAGTGCTTGGTCTCTGCAGAGCCTTGTAGGGCCTCATTTAAAGACCTCTTCCCCCCCCCCCCGAACTCCTCGATTATGTGGCTGCAACTCTGCCAGCACTGGGCTGGAAACTGCTCCTCAGTTTTGTGCTGCATTGTCACTCTACTCTCTGTGATGGTTCTTTTCCCAGGGAAGCCTAACATAAATGTTCTTATTTGCTTGAGAGAGAGAGACTGGTGTGGAGCCTCATCCAAAGCGACGCGGCACATCCGCAAGGATTACACCTAGTTCTGTAGGCGGGTGGCTGGGCAGTACATCTCCCCATCTTTCAGATCTTCCAGACTTATAGCTCCAGGGGGTCATTCTTTCCCCTGGCTCTTTCGTTTAGCCCCAGTTCTACAGCTGTGTCTGCGCAGATCCTGTTCCCCTGTGGTGCTCTGTTGCATTTGCAGGATTGATGCTGCAGCCTCTTCAACTACAGTTCTAGGAGTGCTTGGAGTTGATATTTTTGTGGTAGAAAGAACCACGATCTTATTGTAAATATTACGTCTTCAACATTGCAGACATTTATGCAGGTGCTTAACTTTATTCATATATGGAGCCCCATTTCCCATTTTGGAAATATTTGTACCTGCCTAGGGATAATTTTGTGACTGAGAGCTTTAAACCTGTAGTTATCTGAGATGCATATTTCTGATTTGGTTTCCTTATACCTGGCTGAAGGCAAGCCTCAGTTGTGCTGTATGTATGAGATTAGATAAGGATGATCAAGAGCATAGAGGTTTTTTTTAATAAGCAAAGATTAAATGTGCTTGCACTTTTCAGCTTAAAAAAAAGATGCCTGAGAGTGGATATGATAGAGGTTTATAAAAAAAAAAAAAAAAGAAAAAAGAAAAAAAAGTGTGGCATGAAGGAAGTAAATAGGGAAATATTCAGGAGTGGATTGGGTGAGGAAGGAGTGCAGTCACATCCCCATTTGATTACTTATCCAATGAAAGTTTAAAACAAACTGCCTGGTAGGGACAGCTGAATTTCTGTTCGGGTGGAGTGAGGGAGCCTATAGATTTCATAGCTCATTATTACCTACTTGATTTCTGCCAGTCTTTACTAAATTGGTCAAGGGGGTATCAACAGTGTAGGGCAAGGGTGGGCAAAATGTGGCCTGCCTGGCCATTCTATCTGGCCTGAGGGACCCCTGAAAAATTTTAAAAATTAATATTTATCTGCCCCTGGCTGCCTGTCATGCGGCCCTTGGTGGCTTGCCAACACTCAGTAAGCAGCCCTCCGCCTGAAATAATTGCCTGCCCCCTGGAGTAGAGTATACTGGATTCGTGGGAGCAGTGAGAGGATAGAGTAGCATAGACCTCCATGGGGCATGAGGGGGATTGTGGGGTCTGATGGTTTTGGGGTTTGATGGGGTGAGGCTGAATATGGGAATATGTGGGATAATGGGGGACAGAGTAGACAAGGGAGGGGGTGGGGATTTGAGGTGGCAGGTGCAGCATACAAAGGGCAGTGAGGCACTTTGGGGCCATGGTGGAGTGTCTGGGGGACTTGTGTAGTAGTACAGGGAGGAGTTTCATTTGTGATCATGTGGAGGGTAACAGGTATACCTACTGCCCAGCACCAGATGCCTGCCCAATCTGGATCTGGCAGTCAGCCCCTAAGTGATTCAGTTGTATTTGTTTTTACTTGGATCATAAACTGAATAATATAGCCTTAGGCCCCTAGCATACTAGTAAAGCTTCTCATGTTTTTTAATTGGAAAAAATATATGTTGTCTTATGGGATGATGTACTGTATCACCTGCACCCCTCCCCCTTCAAAATCTGAGATCCACTCATTCATGTATTATTTATACAGGTGCACCAATACATCGGTCTGGTATTGGATCAGCACTGATATAAAGAAAATTGAGTGTATTGGAAATTGGCCTGATGAGGCCGATAATTTGGCTGATAGATGCCCATGCATGCATGCAGCCACAGCGCAGCCTAGTAGCATGGAGAGCTGCATGCAGCTGTTAAGTCTATTGTGGTGGAGGGGGAGGGAAGGGACATGGGGATGTAGGTCAGTGGCCCCTTCAGTGAAGGAGGGAGTGGGGCTGGGGCAAGTGCTGTGGTATGGGTGTGGGATGGAGCTGTGTCTCATCTGGGGCATGAGTGGCAGGGGGGTGTGTGTGGCTCCTGTTGCTGAAGGAACCCGGGAGGGTGGAGGGGAGTGTGTGCCCCCAGATCTGCGTGGGGTGTTGGTGGGTTGGGCTGCAGATGTGGGCTGGGGCCAGGACTGCACTGGGCTCTTCCCTTGGGGTGGGGTTTGGGCCTGGGTTGTGTTTGGGGTGGGTGGTGGTGGCACTGGGAGGGGGCTATAGTGAATTTTGGGGGGGCTGCAGCCCCCCCATAACCCTCTTCCCAGCGCTGTTGCTGCCTGCTCCAAATGCAGCCCTGGCCCCAGCCTGAAGCTGCAGCCCACCCTGCCTGTACAGATCTGGGGGCACGTGCCCCTCCTGTCCATTCCCAGGGTGTGCACAGTGGTGGGAGCCACCCCTCTCTGTGCCCTCTGGACGAGCTGTGGCTCCATCCTGTGCTTGCCCTGCCTTGGCTGGATTGCCCAGCCCCATTCTTCCTCACAGCATTAATCTGCCCCCCATGCCCCTTCCTTCCTCCCTCCCTCCCCCACTTTCCACCACAACAGACTTACCAGCTGCATGCAGCTCTCCACGCTGTATCGGATCAATATTGGCTGATATGCCTCCTTATAAATTGGATATTGGTATTGGTCCCATCAGTTTGTATTGGTGCACCCCTCATTATTTACCACGTTTTCCAAACTAGGTCACATGCAATAAAATTATTAGGATGCAGGTTTAAAACAAACATAAGGAAGTTTTTTTCATGCAATGTATAGTTATATTGTGGAACTCATTGTCACAGGATGCTGCAAAGGCTCACAGTTTACATAGGTTTGAAAAAGGATGAGACAGATTCATGCAGGATAGGTTTATCTGTGGGGATTAAACACAATGGTAGGGCTGCAACCTCCAAATTAGCTCTTCCTAGTCCTTTTATTGTAGAAGGGTAGGGGACAGATCAGTCTGGATAGTCCCTGCATAAACACTCTTCCTCTAAGCATCTACTCTGTGCCAATGTAAGAGACAGAATGCTGGGTTAGATAGACCTGTGATCTGGCCCAGTGTGACATCTTTTGTGTTCTTACTAGGCACATAGGCTGCTTGCAGATGTTTAAAAAAAAAAAAGTGCTTTACTTTAAATTCAGCGCATTCCTGCGTCTAGCCAAGAGCATGCCCAGAAGAGGTACCACCTTAGTTGGACCCAGCTCGCCTGGTGTTTGTGTAAATCGGACACTTTAATGTAGCTTTTTGGCACTTTAATAGCTGATTGAATCAGTTTTAGCTAAAAATGCCAAAAAGCCCTGCTGAAGCATCCAGTCTATACAGGTGCTGCAGAGCCGGGTTAAAGTAATGTGCTGTTTCTTTTAGTAAAGTGTTTTGGTTTTTTTTAACATCTGCAAACTGCCATGATGGCCTCTGACATCAGAATAGCTCAACTGAAAAGAAAGTCTGGTCAGAAGAGCTTATTTTCTTTACTGTTGGTGGATAGGTAAAATGTAATGTCAAATAAACTTATGTGGTGTCCTCCAAGAAAATGTATTTGATTAGACACATGGGGTTATTTACTCCACTTCTACTGAAGGCACATACAGTCTTCATAGCCTGAATGTTTTGATTTAATTCTGACTTCATTTAATCAGTGTTTATGTTGCATCCACCTGCATGCAGAAGGACTATACTAGAACAGAAATAAGTAATATTTTTATTATTTTTAATGTATTTTCCTGTGTGACTGGCTTATTCATTCTTAAAGGTGAAGTGAACATCTTAAATGAAAGAAGTGTGAGAGGAGGCTTGTAGCATAATGTTTTGAGCTAAGATTGTCTGTCAAATATCTTTATTTAAAAATGTACTTTAAAATTAATATCATTCTATTTATCTGCTGAAACCTGAGGTGAAGTTCTGTTTTGATGAAGTTGATATTGTGATGGTATCTGCTTGTCAGAGGCCAGTGTTGAAGGTGGAATAGAATTAGAGTTGTGTCCTGATCAACAGCCAAAGTGTATCTTAATCCTGATTCCTGGGCAGTAGGAGTACTCTGACATTTATATGCATTGATAGCGCCTGCTAGGCATTATAAGATTCAGTCTTCATTCCTGACGTGTCACAGTGTATTTCCTTCCAGCTAGAGCAATGAAAAGGGCTTAGGCAAAAGGGCTTAGACAAACCCCAAACAGTTATTTTAAATTGTAGAACAAAATATAGTCAACTTAATCCTTCAGTCAAGTATGTCACTAAATATCAATAACTCCTTAGGGCAGTGATGTGCAGCTGATCTAGCCCCATGAGCCAGATGAGTGGTGCTGGGCCATTCTGCGTGCCAGAGCCAGAGTGCAGAGCTGCTTCATTTGGCCTGTGGGGCTGGAATTTGGCACAGTGTTAATTGCTGCAGCTCTGCAGCTCGCAGAGGTGAGGCAGA